TCAACCGAGTTGCTCAACGCATGCATCAACCAAGTGAACATGATTGCCATTGTCTAAAACGCATTCTCAGGTACATTTTTGGCACTCTTGGTCGTGGTTTACTCATTCGCCCCGGGGACTTGGAGCTTCGGGATTTCTCAGATTCAGATTGGGCGAATGATAAAAATGACAGAAAATCTACATCGGGGTTTCTCATTTTTTTGGGGCCGAACCTTATCTCCTGGTGTACAAAAAAACAACCCAAGGTCTCTCGGTCTTCGACTGAAGCTGAATACCGCGCCCTTGCTCTTCTTGCTGCTGAGACCATGTGGATCACATATATTCTTTGCGAACTCCGCGCCACTCACACTGTTCCTGCTCTCTATTGTGACAACAAATCAACCATCTGTGTGGCCAAGAATTCCGTCCTACACACCAGAATGAAGCATGTTGATACCAATTGTCTCTTTGTTCGCGATGAAGTTCAGGCTGGCACCATGACTGTGCAGTATGTACCCACTGGAGAACAACCGGATAACCTACATATTCTTTTTATTTGTCTAATATTCTTTTTTTTTAAAATAATGAAATAATATTTTGATAGAAATTAAGAAGGTTAATTTTGACAAATTCTAAAATATCATAATTGATTAGTGCATACTTAAAAAGACACTTTCAAAATCCATTTTCAATTTAAAAATCGGAAAAGAGTCAAAATTGCTTCTGAATTATGCGAAATAGATCACTTATACTTTCATTATATTTCGGGATAAAAAATACTCCCGCTGCTATCCTAAGAGACCACAAATACCTTCAAGAGTTAATACCCCAACTTTTTTAGTGACGTAGCATGCCACATAGGACTAATCCCTACACCTAAGCGTTGCCAACTAAGATTCAGTAAAAAAGAACTTGATCTTTAGTGGCGACAAAGTTGTCACAAAATCTTAAAATATTGTCACTAAAGGTTATGAATGATTTTTAGTGATAACTAATCGTAAAACCTATTTTTTCAACAAAAAATTATGATGATTAATTTTTGATGGCAACCTAATTTTTTAAAATAATTAAATTGTAATATTAATATTAAAAATACCCAATATTATTACAAAAAGTTATGAAAATTACTTCTCGATTCACATCTCCTACTATATAATGCATTATTATACATTTAATACATTTTCATATAACATAAAAACAAAACAGTATCTTCAAACTCATACTTAATCGATATCATTTTCGTTTTTTGAAAAAATAATAAAGAAAAAAACACAAAATTAGAATTTAATGTTAAAAATTTTTAGCGATGATTTTTTGGATTTTTGTGGAGACTATTATCGCCGATAAAGGTCTAGTTCTTTTGTAATGAATCCGAATTGACAATGCTTAGGTAAAGGATTAATTCTATGTGACATATTACATCACTAAAAAATTGAGATATTAACTCTCGAGGATATTTATAATCTCTTTAAATAATAATTGGATATTTTAAATCTCACATAGTTCAGCGGCAATTTTGACACTTTTTCCTTTTAAAAATTTAAGAAGAAAAGCGCGCTTTTTCCACATTCTGCTCTGGTCACTTTCCTCAACTCCTATCGCCGGTAAAGCCAAGGTATTTCGTTTCCTCCGGTTAAATTTATTCAACTAATTTCACAGATTTGTACAAACTTTCAGATTTGTGTAGCAATTTTATAGTTTCTCTCTGAAAAATTGTTGTTGTTTTCTATGTTTAAAAGCATAATTTGTTGTAGAATTACAGAAATTCGTTAAAATTCGTGACTGGATCATGTTCAGGTGTTTACTGCTTTAATTTAAGAACTGTTTGTTAATTTTTGTATGGATTTTTGGTGGAATGCTCTGAATTTTTGATGGTTTGTAATTTGAAGCTGTATATAAGAACCCTACCTGTAGCATTTCCTTAGTTCTACTAAATTTAAATGTTAATTATTGTCGTATTGAATGTTAAATGTGGGTTTTACAATCTGTCTGGGCCTTGATGGACTAAGTTCCTGAACCGGTGGGAGGTGAAAGGTATCACGCAGAATTAGTTGAGGTGCACGAAAGATAATACGAACAATATGATTATAGAAGAAAAAATGCCATGAGTAGTATTAATATCTGTCATAACTTTGGCTGTATTGATTTGGAAAACAAGTGGTTTACTTGCATTTCTATAGTGTCTTACATTGGTTGACCCAGAATTTCTTAGTCATGGGTTCTTATGTGTGTTTAATATAGAGTTCTGAGTTGCTACTAATCACATAATGGGTGCTTGGTCAATCTATTTACATATTATTACTAGTTTTATATATATAAATATAGTGCACGTGTCAAAGACAAGCGCCCAATGCTCATTAGTCCCTAGTTTTTAAGGCTTGTCTTGATTTTAGATAGTAATGTATGTTGTGTGACTCTTAATAGCCCTGTAACACTATAGTGGAAGTACTGGCTATATAAGGTTGGTCATGGATGAAGATGTGTAAAGCAGGAACTTAGACTATGATTGTTTTTAAGGAACTGTATTTTTTCTTTTTTCTTTTTTCCCCAAGAGTTGTTTGTCAGGGTAAGAGGGAAAGAGGGGGAAATGGACATCAAGGATGCGGGATCGTCACTTGATTCTTTGGTATCCTCATTCAACACTCGTATATCGGAGATTCAACAGCTTGTTGTAGCTCGAAACAGTAAATTATCTGCTCAACTTTTTGTTCTAAAGATTTTCAAAGGTACTTATTCCTGATCGTCAATTTTTATGCAATGTGAATAGTGTACCCTGCAAGCAGCGTTTCAGATTTGTCAGCTATTGACTCTGCATTGAAGGTGTTGGAGCTTCAGCTCCACAAAATAAAAATCCGGATGCGTGAAGAAACTGAAGCCATCCCCAAAGCCAAGGTATTTCTCTTTGTCTCTCTCTAAGCCTGAGTCTGTATTGCCAATTTGGTTTAAGCAAAGATTATTTTAGGCATGCTATCCATTTCCAAATCCAGAAAATTCAATACCTTGGAGGTGTTGCCTTTCTATTATAATGGGGACTGTCTATTGATTTCTACTATTCGTTCTTTCTAAAAAGACAAAAAGTCAAAAATATGTTCTTGTCCTAGTTATGTATGTCTAGAATTAATGAACACATTTTATGAAAAATCGAACATTTGATCAGTGTTTCATGAATCTTACTGTAGGGTTAATATATTTGTTATAGGGTGCACATTCCTCTGTGTTTATGGTCCAGCTTGTTTTTGGAAAATCAAGTGTGGTATTGTTCTGCACTACATCCAAAATGTAAACAAGTATTGTAGATGCGATAACTCATTGCTTTTCGGCTATATTTTTTACTGCAGAAGCTAATAGAAGCATCGCTGCGGCAGCAAAAGAAATTGCAAAATTTATCTTCTGTTGTTCCATCATATGTTCCTGATAGAGTGACTAAAACAACTGATGATGCTATTAAATGGTAACATTCCATATAATATTATGAAATATCTTTACTAACATGTGGTCCTTACTCCTTAAGAAGATCTGTTCTTTCTGAATATGAATTTGTTTTTTATAGTTCAAATCTAGAGCCCAGTGTTGAGGATAGTTTTGTTTCTCTGAAACTTGAGGAGCCTGCACCCAAGGTGACAAACTTTCCTTGATTCTCTAACTCTTTACATATAACATGATTTCTTCTGTCCTGAAAATCCAAGTCACATCTTATGTCTCTGTAGCTTGATAAATAGACAAGTGTGGTATTAGATTGCTTAAAGGGTAAGATTCATACTTAATCCAGTCAAATATCATGAAGGCCTTAAGTGGGTATCTGATTGCATAAAGGAGGCGACTCACTTTTTTTTTCTTTCAATTAGCCAGAGTAATGGAAGATCAAATCATTCTAGGATCAGGAATGTGTTTTAATCAATAAATTAATTGTTTCTAAGGCCTTCCAGTGAGGTCTGTGAGGGCAAAGAAAAGGAATCCCAAGTTGTCACAGATTATGCTCCTTAATTTTAATATAATAGTGATCAAATAATGCAGTTTATCATTCTTCATCTAATTTGAAAGACATTTACTGAATGATTCAGTTGTTCAATGTTCGGGCAGCTTCAACCAAAATAGTCATGCTATGATCTCACCCTATATTTTGTTAATTTCAGGAGAAAAAGAGTCGCATCTCCCCGCCGCTTTTCTACATTAACTCTGAAGAACTGAATTCTGTACCACCGTAAGTTCTTTCTAACTTCTCATAAGGTAGCACTTCTTTATACATCAATGTGACCGCCAACAGTCTAACCTCCTCCCAGGAAGAGAGACCATAAGGTTCCTGATGTTAATGAGATGCCTATTCCTTTTACTGCTTATGCATCATAAAACTCTATCTCATACATTTGCTGACAATAAGAGATGCAAATTGCAGGTATATGAAACAGCGGATCACTTTGGAAAAGGTCAATGCAGCAATAAATGACATGGCTACTTATGCTGAAGCAACTTCCCAGCTTCTCACAGCCCCTCGTAAAAAGGTTGTATTTTTGTCAAATCTGGTTACAAATTTTACTTGAAACTTGAGTTCACCCCTGTGCTGATACCTATTTTTTTCCTTCTGAAGCTCAAAGAAAATCTTGTGGAGAGAGCAATGGTAAGTGAACTGAATTTTGCCTATTGATTCAACTTTCTCATAACTAAACTTGGATACCACATATCCAGTAGAGATTAGAATTTTGTCCTTTTAATTAAATCTGCAGATTTATGCCTCACCAGTTTGTAGTTCTATTTTCAACTAGAAAGTGATTTCTTCCACAAAATATCCACAAATCATATATTGAAAGATGGACCCTTCTTTTTTGGGATATCTCTACTTGCCAAATTTGTCCATATTATTTGCAAAATTCTAAGGCTGTCCTTACCTATCAATTTATAATACAGAGCCGGTTCTTCTGATCTGGATAGGGTTCACTCTCTTTTGCTCTCTATCATTCCATAAGGAATAACTTAGGAAAAGAGGGTGTAAGCATTTTTTTTTTGTTTTGAAATTGTTAACTTTGGAGGGTGTTAGCATTCTATTAACCCAATTCCTGCAGCTTAGGGATGAAGTTAGTGATAGAATTTGTATGTGACGTATATTTAGGAATTATTTGCATTTAATTTTGATTAAAAAAATGTATGTGGCAACCCTTGGGATTTGTATGAATAATCCAAGTCTTGAGGCCTAACTACTGTAGGGACGAGGTGTCTTAGGCTCAATCTTGTCCTGAAACCATCATGTATTCCTGTCTATGCCAAGTGTAGCTTCCTCTGATTTGCTTCATTAATTGTTCTATACATTTGCCTGCAAGACATAATTTAAAGGGCTCCCTTCAGCCTTAAACCCCCTTCATGGAATCATTTTGTACTTTTGCTAATGATGTGTAATTGAAACATTAGCAACTTATGGGCTATATTTGATCAGTTCGACTTATAGTATATTGTGTTCCTTGTGATACATTCCTGTCAGGAAGTGAAACCTTTGTTGATAAAATTTGACGTGTTTAAACAGCATAAAGCTACTCATGTTTTGCAGGAACTAAGAGATATTGCAGCAACAGAAACAGTTAAAGGAAAGCATTTCTTTCTTGAAACTGACATCAGAGGGCCTTCACTGAAACTTGACAATACAGGAAAAGCAATACTAACTGTGAGTTGTTCTTATGTGAAGACATAAATTACATGTTGACTGATGACTGTAATTGAAAATAAATTGTACTTTGTAGTTTACACAACTTGGTGAAACTTTAGTGTATTTGCATTTTGACTCGCATCATTTTTCCTTCTCATTCTTCTAAAAGGACGGTTAGCTTTTAAGTTTTTATTCAGTTACATTTAGATGTCAGGGTACAATGCTTGTGCCATGATATGTAAAGGTTTTCATCAAGAAGTCGATCACTTAACATATTTGTCTATTTCAAGTATTCTTTTGCTACTTCACATTTGACAGAATGGATGTAGGATTACTGTGAAAATCTTTGCTGATTCATGCTTCAAAAGATAATATCGAACAACAGATTTTTTTTCTATTGTCATCTTTTTATGTTCTGAAAAACTTGACTGTAACTACTTTTAGTGGATTCATGCTGGTTTGATTCATTCTCTTGACAATGTGTTTCATGCCTTAGAACTATAGCAGCCTTGTATTGAAACGCGACCACCAATCTTAAACCCCTCTCTCTGTCAAATTCCAATACGAGCAGCGTGACTAAGCTATTAGCACCTCTACTTTCCTTCTCAAATAATTTATTCTGCACCACCAACTGTACATGCTTGAGGCTCAAAAACTAATCACACAATATCAGCTTTATGCTTCTAGGCACTAATGTAATTTGTCATTGGCAGCTCCTCCGACATCTTGGTCGTATAAGTGAAACTCGAATTGGTCATCACCGTGTGATCCTTCTATTGAGGCCTCACTGAATTACAAGAGATCATCAGGTACTTTTTTAACAACTTCATGTGAGAACTTGTTTTTTTAGCATATTACCATTGCCTGGCAACATTCAAGCTCTCCTCAACTGCAGACCCCTATCAGAGGAACCTTTTGCTGTTTACAGTATAAAATTGCATTAGTTTATTGAATTATTGATGCATAGTTCATATTAAGGGATTAAATGTCAGTGACAGTGGTTATTGTTCAGTTGACGGATCGTTTGATTTAAAGACAAATTATGTAGGCAGTATGAATGATTTAGTCATGCAGAGATTAATTGTCCATGGATTGTACTTCTCGTTGAATATTTAATTTTATGCATTACATAATTAGTATATGAGGTATAATTTAATTTGTTTGTTTTCTTTTAAAACAAAACAAAAGATTTCTTACCATTATGAGGGGAGTCTGATCATTTTGAAATTTTAGTCCATGTATAAATTAATATCTGCATATTCGTATTTCACATTCTATTTCGCATTAAATAATACATAACTTTTTTTTTATGAAAACAAAAGAGCATCTGAACATTGTATCGTGAAATTCACCTCTAGTTCACCATAACATTGATGTGATGCCTTATAAAGAGGTGAAACAATCGAATGGTATATCATCTCCTTATTAATTTATGCAACCATTCTTTTTGATCTTCTATGAAAAAAAATAAATAGAATTATGACACAATATTATTATTAATATTTGGAATATAATGAATGTTGTAAAACAGAGAAAAGAGTAGAGTACCCCTTGCGTCCTTACTTAAAAATGGAGCAATCGTCATTCGACGGCTCAGAAAATGGATAGAAATGATATTTTACATATAAAAAACCACTAATTCTTTTATAACTACAAAGACGATTGAGTCAAATTTTCAAAGACCCACAAATCCCTATAGTTATCATACCCTACTTCACCAGCACATTTGTAAATACTCCAATACATTTCCTTTAGGCTGGGGTCAAGTGATGGCATTCCCATTTGAGCTGCTATCCAGTCCATGTACTCCATCTGCCAATAAATTCATGTAATTATTTCCTATCACTTACTTTATAGGTAAAACATTCACATTCAGAAAGAAAGAAAGAAAGAAACTCGAATATCACGATCTTGCTAAGCAAGAGTTTTAATGAAGGACTGTATCACGTTATGGTCTTGTATTTCTGTAAGAAGTTATTTTCACGAATATTACAGGTGAGTCCCTCGTGGTCGCACAATAACAACTCTTACAACTATGTCAGTGATATCACCTAGGGAGAGCCACACCCTCAAAAGGTAGTTATTAGGGTGTGAGAGCCAGAGCCAAGGCTATATAAGTCCACACCAGCTCCCCGTTAATTCGATGTGGGACTCAAGTCTCATACCTTGCAATTGGATCATATATAAAAGTCAAGGCTCTCCTTCATTAAGTTTTAGAAAGTGTTTTAAGATATTTAACAAGAGGACATACAAATCCTTCTCAACTACTGGAATTGAGTGAAGTTTTTTGAAAAAGAAGATAAAAAGTATCAAAAAACGAGTATGAACAGGTTTTGCCTGAGTCACACTGAAACGAATCTTGAAAAATAAATTAGTTATCGGATTACCACGTGAGGGTGAAGGCGATGAGTGTCACGTTTTGGGATGCCAGCTTCCTCAAGTTGCCTATTATGGTCCTCAACATCAGCTAACATCTCCTCTTCCGATGGTAAAAGCACCTTTCCAGACAAAACTTGTGCAATCCATTTGGCTTGTAATTCAGACCCAAGAAAGATTATTCCCTGATCATCACAGGGAAAAGTCTACATGATAACTTGAAATTTTTCAAGAGCTGTGGCGTGGCGGAGCCAGAAATTCAGTAAGGGGGATTCACAAAAAAGAAAGATTGTATGCCAAAAAGATCCAACAAGTAGCTGACCTTAGAAGGTATACCAACAAAGGAGAGGCAGGGAGAAAGTTTTGGAGGAAAGACATGCTTGTATAGTGGTCCAACAACACGGCCCTCCTCATCTACACTTACTAGTCCATTGGTTTCAAGAAATGGGAAATCATACTTGTATCTGCGCAAGAAGATAATGTTAAACACATCACTAAGCTTTTAGATAAGATAATCATACAGTTCAACATGATATCAGAATAGATAGAACTCCTAAGGTTTGTGTTTCACTATCACACATTAACAAAAAACTTCCACGAGCTTAGCCATATGTAAAAGGGTGATCTCTAACAGCTTAAATTTTTTTAGATGAGATGATCACACACAAAAAGACTCAAGATTTGAACTAAACCCTGTGGAGTGGAGAATGATATCAGCATGAATAGAAGATCCATCAAAGAAAATCACTTCACCACTTTCATCAACATGTTCAATCTGCAATAAGAAGTTCCAATATCAGCTCCCTTTCTATATCATAATCAACAATATTTAAAACGATTACATACCTTTGAATGGTTCCACAGATTTTCATAATTGTCCAATTTCGAAACTTCAATTTCAGAATATCTTGTTGAAAGATGAACTTGCTTGGCTACAGTGGCTATGTCTCGGCAAATATCAAGCCCACTTGGTCCATCTCCAATTACTACTACAATCTAAACACAAAAATAATGATTTACAAGTGAAAGCATAGACTTGTTGTATGTAACTTTAAGAAGTGAAAATGCAGAAAGTATATAAAGGTCTTGCCTGATCCTTAAATGGCTCAGGAACTCGATAATTGTGGCTATGTATTTGTTTTCCAGGCCATTTGTTTATACCTTTGGATATTAACTAACAAGAATTAGTTCAAAATATCATATTTCTCATATTTATTGCCAATAGAAGGCAGGGGCGGAGCTAAAGTAAGGGTGGTCAGATGAACATGCTTCGTTGGTAAAATATAGTCTAATATCTGAATTTACTATAAATTGAACATTCTTCACATTTAGCGGTACGCACACTCATTTACTGCACCTCCTACTCATGGTAAAAATGAAAAGGTTTTGTGTACTCACTCCGCTAAAAGAAAATTATCAAACTGTTTAAAGATTGAACACCCTTAACGAAATTTTTGACTCCGCCACTGAAAGAAGGTGACAAATATTACCTGGAATATTTGCAATTCTGGGCACTGTATAGTGACCATTACAAATCACTACAGAATCAAACACTTCTTCTGAACTTAACTCCTCTGATTTCGATTCAACAATCCAACGATTTCCCCCAAATTCAACTGGCGCAACTCGTACAACCTCCGTGTTGAATCGGATCAACTCATTGATCACAAAATCGTTAGCGAACTCATTCAAAAACTTCAATACTTCTTCGTGCCCAGGAAAGTTCAATTGATTCCCATTTTCTGCACAATCAAAAGAGTAATCGCTGAAACTCATAAGTTTTCGAGGAAGATTAGTTCGAAGAGATTTGTAGAGACTGCTATGAACAATTTCTCTGTTTGGATCGAGACTCAGTAGATCGGTCTCAACTCGAGGATTATAAGCCCATAGACCACCCAGTTGGTTCGATTTCTCGAATACTACAACTCGGTGGCCTTCTCTTTGTAGCTCACGCGTCGTCACAAGACCCGATGGGCCGGCTCCGATCACTGCTACTTTTCTCGACTCCGCCATGAGAGGAGACTATTGAGCTCAAAAAACAGAGTTCTGCACTGAGTTTTTTATATTATAAAGACAAACTGAATTGTTCGATTTTCAAAAAACTAATAAATCTTTGTGTATACAGTTATCTAACCATTTTTTTTAAAACTAAACTTTTATGCTCGGCGCCAACTCAGATCTTATGTTTTTCAAATGTTCTTCGATCCTTTATAAAATTAATGGATAATTTTATACTTTGATTCTTAATTTATCTTTATCATTATTTTTCTAAGACGTTGCATTTATTATATCTAAAGGATGATATAGTAAAATCACTCTTTTATTTGTAGACGTTTGCAAAGTTAGTAGTTGACAAGTATTATTGAACAGAGAGAGAGTATTTGTCATTTCATAAAATTAATGCATAAATGACAATATTCTTCCTACCTTGAGAGTTATTAGTATTGAAAATATGATTTAACTAATATAAAAAAACACAATGATTAATCCATGTTTGTCGATTAATTAATTGAAAACTTGACTTTAATAGAATAACTAAAAAAGAATATAATGATAAACTTACATAATTTTTTAATGGACACATGAAATTTAAATTGGTGAGGTATAAATAGAAACAAAGGGAATAGTATTGTTGGTTGAAAATATGTGTGTGTATTATTATTAATATTAGTATACATATTCACACGTTGCAAGTTTAGTTGACAAATATAATTATAATTATTTTATTAACAAAGTGCAAAATTTAACTCACCATAAGATTATATTAAAAAGCTTACTTGAGAAAATGTTAACATTCAACATCTGAATATATTATAATAAATATTTATATAAATAAATTTTTTATAAGTTTAGTTAATCGTCTAAATGAATGTGGTAACACATAAAAGAAATAGAAATGATGTTACATTTTAAAAACCACTAATTCTTTGATAACTACAGAGATGATTGAGTCCAATTTTCAAAGATCTACAAATCCCTATAGTTAGCATACCCTACTTCACTAGCACATTTGTAAATACTCCAATACATTTCCTTTAGGCTGGGGTCAACTGATGGTATTCCCATTTGAGCTGCTATCCAGTCCATGTACTCCATCTGCCAACAAAATTCATGTAATTAAGAAAGAAAGAAAAACTCGAATTTAAAGCTCTTGCTATGCACGAATTCTAGGGAAGAGTCGTATCACATTTGCAGTTTTAGCTTGTATTTCTGCAAGAGGTTGTTTTCACGATTTGAACGTGTGACCTCCTAGTCACATGATTACAATTCTTAGCATTGTTATGCAATGATACAATCTAGGGAAAAGCACACCCCAAAAAGCTCATAATTGAGGTGGGAGAGCCCGAGGTTATATGTGGCGCTTTTGTCATTCTTTAACATCCATTTCATGCTGTGTGGACAATTTTGATTTTGGGAGTCCCAACATCGGGTGAGACGGACACTGCTCCAGTATCATGTTAAATTAGAGCTCAAACTTAACTCACACCCCAAAAACTAGCTCAAAGGAAGAAGAATTGTTCATTAACCACTGATGTGAGGCTTTTGTCATTCTTTATTACCTTGCAATAGTATAATAAACAAACCATATTGTGCTATGCATCAGTCGTCCTCAAATGAATATGTTTGAGGACAATACTGCAATACCGGCATCATAATCCAAGGCATGACGGGTAGTGGGTGGCTCTAATTGTTGGGAAAACGCGGACGAGCACAAAAATATATATAATAAAAGTAATGGAAATAAAATGGGAATATAACGACACCAAG